TTTTTCTGTACAAATATTTACACTGTATTACCCCTAAGTAATTATTATTCCATGTTTAAAACAGAAGCAAACGAAAACTGAGCCAGGAGTTCACAAGTTGTGTAAAGCGACCGATATTGCAAATTAAAATCGAAATGGAGACTTTTGTAAAATCCTCTTTCAATTTAACTATTTCTTTGCCGAAATTAATGTTCAACGTTTGTCAATAAAGGAGAACTTTCAAAGCTTAAAGGATGTATTTGGCGGCCATATTCTTTTTTTTTCATTCTCGGGCAAGAGAGGCTGGGAAGAGAGATCATGTAGCAGTACGCTAAAAGCCAAATGGTTTGCTACCCTAACCTAAAACAATGGAAATAATGATAAACAATGTTGTGTTAATGTTTTCCCCTACCGACGAAAAGACACCTTACGAGCAGGGAGAGAATCGGCGCACGGTCATACTGTTCAAATTATAAATTTCTTAAACGTTCCCCGGCGTGGACCAAGGCTAAAAGAGTATTAATGGGTTTACTGTGAGATTTACGTCTGGTGTCGATCAGTTAAAGATTTAATTCTACACGGAAACCGGAAAAGTCATCCTTGAAAAAGCTTGAAAACTGTCAATCACCACAGAGAAGGAATACATAGCTCTTTTTAAAAACTCAGTTGATGGCCAGGTCAGCGCTTACCGAGGTGGTCCAGTGGATAGAGGAGTCAGTGGTAACGTATTCGGAGGGTCCGTGTTCGAATCCCCTGGAAGCAAAGTTCTTTCCTGGCATTATTTTTTTTTTTCGTTTTTTTTCTCTCTTTTTTACCTGTGTGGTGCATATAGCTAGTAACATAATGTGCTAAATTGAAAGCAAAATTTACAGGAATAATATCATAGCGTATCTACCGGTATTTATAGTAATACTGGACACTGCTACCATTACCCAGTTCAAACGTCGAATTTCACATGTACCTAACTTAATTCGAGAGATCTGCTTTAACATGCGACGTCTGAATCAACAATGATAATAAATATGTACCAATAATAAATGCGTTAAAAATGTAATATAACAGCCCAGAACAGTGCTAGACGTATTCTTAGTACTTTTCCAGTATTGTAATAGACCTATATCACAACGCAACGCACCCATCTGTGTGTGAAACTTTTCAGATGATATAAAACCAACAATTTTCGCTGCGTCTCTTTTGAGCTCAAGTCCCGGCTGAGTGTTAGTAAAATCATTTTCTCGATTGTTAGCAGTAAACGCTGATAAAGCAAAAGTTGGTTGTCAAAAACTGTTCCCTGCAGCCTCTCGTAGCAAATGGTATTCCTTGGACGTACAAAGGCGGGGGTCTGAATTCTACCCATCCTCGTTTTATTTTTTATGTGTGAATTTTATCAAGAGGATATTTTCTGGGCACCTGTCCATTTCAGTAACTGTTTGTTTATTTTTCATACATATTTTCTGCTAATTTGGTGAAAATCGGCCCATAGTTATATTAGAATGAATAACAAGCATGGTAGGGGATTATATGATCTCAGAAATCGATATATGGAAAGCAGAAGCCAATGTGACTTTTGCCGTGAACTACTGTATAGTATTCAGCCATTTCGTTTTTACGTTTCATTAAAAATTAGCTAAAAATTATAGAATTCGTAAGGAGATAGTCTGCTTGTTTTAGGGGAAATGATGTTGATCTGGGAATGAAATCGATTAGGGTAGAAAAGGTATATCTTGATACAATGTAAACCAGTTAGTCTGCTAATGGGATCACAGGCACCTTGATGGGGTGGTGGACTTTCTAGTATTTGTCTACTAATTCACTCCATATTGTAATTTTTAACAACCCCCGAATCCGATATTTTCCAATTTTCTAGAATTTTTAATATTCCCCTCTAATTTTTCTACATTAAAAATATTCAAAAAATCATCCAAAAAAATTCCAAAAATTAATGAATCAAAAACTCCAGCCTGATTGAGTCATTCTTCGATTGAATGAAATCTTGGCTAGATATTTGAGAAAAAGGGCCGAAATAACCGAAAATCAATGCTTTTAACCAGACTCCCCTCTTAAGTACTGATTTCCTGGATTATCCCTTCATACATGGACACCAACGATTTTATTTCCATTGCTAACGGAAACCCTCTTTCCAGACACCTGTCGTCACCTGGAATGGAGAGCCAACCACATCTTTGAAGGTAAACGTCTAAAACATCACGTGATTCGCAGCATTGACGCCCTTGACGCGAAAACCTGTGAGATACATTGCTTTTTTGAACCCGACTGCGCTAGTTTCAACTTTAGGAAGTCTAGTATGAGCCCGCAATGTGAGCTGAATAACGCCACTGTCGAAGAACAAGACGATAAGCTGGAGACAAAAGATGATTACATTTATCAAGGAGCCGAGGTAAGTGAGGAACTTCAAAGTGGACTTCAACTAAAGTACGGCCTTATATTTTAGCCCAGGGGGTGGGTGGAGGGGGGAGGGTACTTCCTTATGAGAGGCTAATGGGGATGTGCCGCTGGATGGGGTCGCATTTTCACGACTGGATTGACTACAGTGGGGTCGCATTTTCAATAGAGTTACTAGAATGGGGTCGCACATTTTCGGATTTTTCTGGGTAAGAAAGTTCTTCATATTTACGGTTAGCAAACGTATCAGTATGTTTGTACTGTAGGTGAAAAGTAAAGCGTTCTTCATTCAGTTTAAAAAATGGGTCACTTCATAAAAATAGAAAGTGACTAAGTTGGGATCGCGAGAATTACATATTTGCCCAAAAGTGACTAAGATGGGGTCTATAATTGGTCACAGAATAGACTATAATGAGGTAGGGGCTTTGAGAGACCAGTGGCACATACCCAGCAAAAACTTCTTCAAGTACCCCCTTTCCCCCTCGCCCCGGTATCTGAGGCAAAGTAAAGACCAACTAATACACGATATACACGATGGCCTTTGTACCCAGCAGCGGATGATTCCTAATTTTGTTATAGAACTAACCGGAAAAGATTATTAAAAATAATTAATATATGAATTTCACGTATGTTTGAACTGCGGGACGGAATGTAAAGAAGTTCATCGAAGAAGACGCAACTTGTGCACTTTGTGATCCATGATTCTCATGATCAGTTAAACAGTTAGAAGTGAAGCTAGAGTTTCAGCTGCTACCTTAAAGTAAATTAGCAAGAGAGGCTGGGAAGAGAGATCATGTAGCAGTACGCTAAAAGCCAAATGGTTTGCTACCCTAACCTAAAACAATGGAAATAATGATAAACAATGTTGTGTTAATGTTTTCCCCTACCGACGAAAAGACACCTTACGAGCAGGGAGAGAATCGGCGCACGGTCATACTGTTCAAATTATAAATTTCTTAAACGTTCCCCGGCGTGGACCAAGGCTAAAAGAGTATTAATGGGTTTACTGTGAGATTTACGTCTGGTGTCGATCAGTTAAAGATTTAATTCTACACGGAAACCGGAAAAATCATCCTTGAAAAAGCTTGAAAACTGTCAATCACCACAGAGAAGGAATACATAGCTCTCTTTAAAAACTCAGTTGATGGCCACGTCAGCGCTTACCGAGGTGGTCCAGTGGATAGAGGAGTCAGTGGTAACGTATTCGGAGGGTCCGTGTTCGAATCCCCTGGAAGCAAAGTTCTTTCCTGGCATTATTTTTTTTTTCGTTTTTTTTTCTCTCTTTTTTATCTGTGTGGTGCATATAGCTAGTAACATAATGTGCTAAATTGAAAGCAAAATTTACAGGAATAATATCATAGCGTATCTACCGGTATTTATAGTAATACTGGACACTGCTACCATTACCCAGTTCAAACGTCGAATTTCACATGTACCTAACTTAATTCGAGAGATCTGCTTTAACATGCGACGTCTGAATCAACAATGATAATAAATATGTACCAATAATAAATGCGTTAAAAATGTAATATAACAGCCCAGAACAGTGCTAGACGTATTCTTAGTACTTTTCCAGTATTGTAATAGACCTATATCACAACGCAACGCACCCATCTGTGTGTGAAACTTTTCAGATGATATAAAACCAACAATTTTCGCTGCGTCTCTTTTGAGCTCAAGTCCCGGCTGAGTGTTAGTAAAATCATTTTCTCGATTGTTAGCAGTAAACGCTGATAAAGCAAAAGTTGGTTGTCAAAAACTGTTCCCTGCAGCCTCTCGTAGCAAATGGTATTCCTTGGACGTACAAAGGCGGGGGTCTGAATTCTACCCATCCTCGTTTTATTTTTTATGTGTGAATTTTATCAAGAGGATATTTTCTGGGCACCTGTCCATTTCAGTAACTGTTTGCTTATTTTTCATACATATTTTCTGCTAATTTGGTGAAAATCGGCCCATAGTTATATTAGAATGAATAACAAGCATGGTAGGGGATTATATGATCTCAGAAATCGATATATGGAAAGCAGAAGCCAATGTGACTTTTGCCGTGAACTACTGTATAGTATTCAGCCATTTCGTTTTTACGTTTCATTAAAAATTAGCTAAAAATTATAGAATTCGTAAGGAGATAGTCAGCTTGTTTTAGGGGAAATGATGTTGATCTGGGAATGAAATCGATTAGGGTAGAAAAGGTATATCTTGATACAATGTAAACCAGTTAGTCTGCTAATGGGATCACAGGCACCTTGATGGGGTGGTGGACTTTCTAGTATTTGTCTACTAATTCACTCCATATTGTAATTTTTAACAACCCCCGAATCCGATATTTTCCAATTTTCTAGAATTTTTAATATTCCCCTCTAATTTTTCTACATTAAAAATATTCAAAAAATCATCCAAAAAAATTCCAAAAATTAATGAATCAAAAACTCCAGCCTGATTAAGTCATTCTTCGATTGAATGAAATCTTGGCTAGATATTTGAGAAAAAGGGCCGAAATAACCGAAAATCAATGCTTTTAACCAGACTCCCCTCTTAAGTACTGATTTCCTGGATTATCCCTTCATACATGGACACCAACGATTTTATTTCCATTGCTAACGGAAACCCTCTTTCCAGACATCTGTCGTCACCTGGAATGGAGAGCCAACCACATCTTTGAAGGTAAACGTCTAAAACATCACGTGATTCGCAGCATTGACGCCCTTGACGCGAAAACCTGTGAGATACATTGCTTTTTTGAACCCGACTGCGCTAGTTTCAACTTTAAGAAGTCTAGTATGAGCCCGCAATGTGAGCTGAATAACGCCACTGTCGAAGAACAAAACGATAAGCTGGAGACAAAAGATGATTACATTTATCAAGGAGCCGAGGTAAGTGAGGAACTTCAAAGTGGACTTCAACTAAAGTACGGCCTTATATTTTAGCCCAGGGGGTGGGTGGAGGGGGGAGGGTACTTCCTTATGAGAGGCTAATGGGGATGTGCCGCTGGATGGGGTCGCATTTTCACGACTGGATTGACTACAGTGGGGTCGCATTTTCAATAGAGTTACTAGAATGGGGTCGCACATTTTCGGATTTTTCTGGGTAAGAAAGTTCTTCATATTTACGGTTAGCAAACGTATCAGTATGTTTGTACTGTAGGTGAAAAGTAAAGCGTTCTTCATTCAGTTTAAAAAATGGGTCACTTCATAAAAATAGAAAGTGACTAAGTTGGGATCGCGAGAATTACATATTTGCCCAAAAGTGACTAAGATGGGGTCTATAATTGGTCACAGAATAGACTATAATGAGGTAGGGGCTTTGAGAGACCAGTGGCACATACCCAGCAAAAACTTCTTCAAGTACCCCCTTTCCCCCTCGCCCCGGTATCTGAGGCAAAGTAAAGACCAACTAACACACGATATACACGATGGCCTTTGTACCCAGCAGCGGATGATTCCTAATTTTGTTATAGAACTAACCGGAAAAGATTATTAAAATAATGAATATATGAATTTCAAGTATGTTTGTACTGCGGGACGGAATGTAAAGAAGTTCATCGAAGAAGACGCAACTTGTGCACTTTGTGATCCATGATTCTCATGATCAGTTAAACAGTTAGAAGTGAAGCTAGAGTTTCAGCTGCTACCTTAAAGTAAATTGCTCTGATCTCGTAAATTTTTCCGTCCCAGAACAAATGTGTGAAGAACCTTTGCAAGAACAAAGCAACTTGTCAAACTGGTTTTACAGACAAAGGATACCGCTGTATGTGTACTGCAGGATTTAAAGGAGAGTACTGTGAGATCGGTGAGTTTCTGTAGGTATATAAACATCGTTTTTTCCTGTTGACCATAAAAACTGAGTATAAGTGCACATAATAATAATAATAATAATAATAATAATAATAATAATAATGATGATGATGATGATGATGATGATGATGATGCGTATACTTCATATTCGGACTTGCGGTACTTTTATTATATAATGACTTAAATGTAATTTCTGTTGCCCACCAAAGTAATAAAACAAGCCTATCAGGTTAAATGTCCAAGAAAGCCAATGGAAGCTTACCAACGAAACCCTAGATGCAATATCTAAATAATTACCAAAAGCCAAGGAATTCCGATAAAGAAAAATATCCAAGGTCAGCTAAGACCCCAAATTAAACGTGGCCATTTCAAGGAGCGACTCTCTTATTCAATTAAGCCTTAAGATAAACTACACTTTTATTGACAAATCCATTAAAAGGGAAATAACATAAATAAAGCTGTCCACACAAATACGGATTAAATAATTGCCTTGATCTACAAACCTCAATCATAACGAAATCAGCTCGAGCACAAGCAATCAGCGAAAATCCTCACAATAATAACTTTCAAAACAACCGACACACGGTACTTTAGAACCAATGACTGGAAAGTAATGTAATAATGAAGTGCATATTTTGCTAGCCATCTTAACTTTCATTGCGGTTTGTTTTCTATCTTTAATCAGTATTTTTCTTGCTGTGATTTGATGGCCTATTTTACTTAACATTCCCACCATTGTAGACGAGTGCGCCGCTGGAACACACAACTGCAGCGCCAATACGTTCTGCACCAATAATGCGGGATCTTACACCTGCACCTGTAATCCGGGATACTATGGTGGTGTAGACGACTGTGAACCGAGTGAGTGAGGCATTTTGTATGGGAGAAATTAAACCATTCTTAGCTTTAAATAAATCGTAGTGTTTTATCTTCGTCGATTCAGACTTACTTAATGGACTATCTTAAGGGGGCAGTCAAGACTACAAACAATGTTGTTGCTCTGGACTGCAAATATGAATGGCTGGAGTAACCGTTCATCGATCTCCTGTAATGATTTTTCCAATAAGAGTAGTATACTATGTTGCAAGTGGTTGCAAGATATACCTTGTTAGTGTCTAGCAAGGTCTAGCTAGATTTAGTCATTTAATGATGTCACCTCATTAGTAAAACATATTTGTCTAGTAAGTAGTCACTGCCTTCCTGCATAAGTAATAAGTGGGTTCCTTCATACTAAATAAGTGTCTTCCTCCTTATCTAATCAGCTTCTCTCTAATACATATAGGGACAATAGGCTTGCCTAGACTATATCCACCTGACTGAATATTGTAGAATCTATTATGTGTTCAAAATAAAAGCGGGCAGTTTTTGAAAGCGCTGTCGTTTTTGTAAGTTCAGTTTGCTAGGAAAACTGATCTTTGTTCGAGTTCCGCTCTTTTTAAAAACCCTGTATTCATGATCACTTTCTGGGCATCGTGGCATTTATTACCAACGTTGATGAGCTTCAAGCCCTTTTGGACGCCTGTTCCTCTACCCAAGAATAAGAATTATTGCTGGACTCCATTCTAGTACCTAATGAGTGCAAAAGTGTTTTAAAAATGGGAATAAGAGGTGCGATCACCTAGCAGGACGAGAAACGGCTTATGTCCTCTATTTGTAACAAAACACAGGGTCTGGATGACCTCCCCCCCCCTCTCCCCCGCCCCTCCTCCTCCCCTTATCTAAAGGTGTGGATCCGCCACCTTAGGTTGTGGACGTTTCCAAGCTACTATTTTCTGTTCGTTTTCAGTGTCGTTGTCTCTCCTCTTGGGTGTCTTCAGCTTCACTGCCATATCATTCACTGAAGTTATCTACTGCCCCTCTTCCTCTCTATCCGATGAACGTTCCTCACTATTACTCTCGCTCTCGAAAGTATTTTCGTTATTTCGGTAGCCTTTTTCTGTCAAATCACGTTGGACCTTTTTGTTTTTGATAAAACCTTTATCGACTTCTAACTCCGCAAGTCCACTTAGAAACGTATTCAGCGCACGAGGCTTGGTAACGTCATTGTTATGTGGGAGTCTGAGCACATACTAAACCCGGCGATGTTTGTTTGATAAATCCCCTGGCTTTTGAGTCTTGCATATTGTGAAGCACTTCTAAAGCCTTTAAGATCACGTCAAATGATAACTTAAAAGTACACAAAGCGTCAGCATGATCATCGTTGCAGCCCAACGAGTCTCGCAAAGTGTTCGCAGCTTAGCTCGTCTTCCCATTTGCACTTGACTTGCAGGTGTTTCTTTTAACTTCTCCTGAAATTGGTGCCGGCGCTCAGCTGAGGAAGAAAGTGAAAATGCGATTTCCTGTACGGTAGACATCATGTTCCTTACAATCCAATGGTTCCTAAACGCCAGGAGATTTAATCTTGCTGCTTCTTTGCGATTTACAGACTCGAAAGTATTTCGTATGAAATTTTAAGTGTCTTCCAAAATTTACGAGTCATAACACTGTGAAAACTCGGGCGGGCGAAAAAAAAAGTGTAGGCCGGGGCCTACGGGCCCACCGGCTGGCTACGCCCCTGTAGTTAATACATTTTATAAGACTTGGACTAGTACATGAATTTGCTGTGGAGTGGCTCTCTTTAAAAGAAACTGGCGTTGATGAACAGGACGATCAGCTAATAGCTGAAGAAAACCACGATTCTTGTTCACTACATTTTAAGACATTGCTGCAAAATGAACTGATGATAGTAGTTGAAGTGTTAGAAATGTGGTGGTGGTGGTAGTGGTGGAGGAAAACAATAGAAGTGTGGAAAATGATAAAAACTGAGGAGGAGGAGGAGGGAACAAAAAATGAAGAGGAAAAATAATAAAATTGAGGACGAGGAGGAGAGAATAAAAACTGATTGGGAAGGACATGTCCAGGAGGAGGAGGAGGGAAATTATAAAATTGAGGAGGAGGAGGAGGGAATTCAAGATTGAGGATTCAGGTTCAAAATAATAAAATTCTGGAGGAGGAGGAAAATAAAAAAGAAAAGGGAGTGGGGTTAGTAAAACATTGTGCGTATAGTGTAAAAAGAGCTAACCTGCCTTCTTTGACTATTTTAATAATATAATAGATTCCTTTTAAATTACTGAATATTTTGCTCTTTTTGCAATTAATTTAAGGGTCATAATAAGTTGATTTCTTGTGTCATAGGACACGTGTGTGGTTTATTGTGAGTATTTATTAGTCGCGTGTTTCAATTGACCACTCCAGAAAATACCATAACAAACCATAATGCTCTTTGTTTGTTTCCCCAAAATTTTGCATAAGCATTGTCTTTGATTTCTCTTGGGAGTTAAAATGGCCCCAACAGAAACTGAAAACTATACTTATGCGACATTTTTATATTTTCGAGTCACAAATAAAGAGCATTATGATATGTTATGGAATTTTATGGGGTGGTCAATTGATCCTTGTTAATTTTCTTTTTATAGCCTGCGTAGCTGGCGGTATTATCTCGGTGCGCGAAAGTTTTGGCGGCGGAGCCGTGATCCAAAAAAGGGAGTAGGGACGAGGCGTTTGAAATACCGCCCATATTTCTATTTGCCGCTCGTGACGGCTTCGCCGCCAAATCTCACTCGACTACTACCTAATACCGCCAGCTACGTAGGCTATTTTTTATTGTTTTGTGTTTTTATAATAATACATCAAGGATCTCCTCTGGGGTTTTACTGCAGAAATGAGCTTTGTATGCAACTGTGCGTAAAGAAGTATACTCACAGGATAAAGTTGTCTTATGAACTTTATTGCTAAAAAAATAAAGAGTTGCAGTTGCAAGAGATAACTCAGAGCGTTGCCACGCACGTGCAGCAAAAACAGCGCTAAAAATGCGTTTTTTGCTGTCTTTTAGAGCAGCCGCTGAAGCGGTTTAGTAGCTCAGTTTCTTCTATCCTTTGACGGTGGACTTTTTCTACTTCGTCAATCGTCAACAGGGGTGTGGCGCTCTATTCGACTTGCATGTTTGGAGCAATGTTTTAATTGGTGATGGCAAGACTTTTTTCCTAACAAAGATATTGCAAGAAGGCGACGAGCGCGGGCAAAAACTGCCTGCTTTTATTTTGAACACATAATAGATTCTACATTATCCAATCGGGTGGTTGTAGAGCGGGCAAGTCTAGGCAAGCCTATTGTTCCCATTCAATAAGAGAGGCGCTCATTAGATATGGAGGAAGGCACTTTTTAGTATGAAGGAACCCACTTATTATGCAGGAAGGCAGTGACTAGACACTTACTAGACACATATGTTTTACTAATGAGGTGACTTCATTATAATAACTAGACCTAGCTAGACCTTGCCAGACAACGTAGCCTACTAATACGTCATCAAGACAAGCATTTTTAAGTCTGACTTTTAAACGATTACGATTCTTTCAACTAAAACGTAAATAAAAAATAAGAAATCAAAACCAACTGAAGTTACTTCCAGTTAATGCCTCTAGTCATCGAAATTGCAAAAATTTAAATCACTGAAAATAACAACTATGTTTTATTAATAGTTATTTTCCTTTGTTTTCATACAGTTTCGACGTGCAAGGACATTTTTAACAAGAACATGTGAGTAGCAAAACATTATTCGGAGTTTTTTTTAAATTAAGATAACAGAGCTTTCAGCACTGATGTGAGTAGCAAAACATTATTCAGAGTTTTTTTAAATTAAGATAACAGAGCTTTCAGCACTGATGTGTGACGCTTACATTTCATATACGTGTGGACAAAAATGCGCTGAAATGCACGGCAACCAATACAGAACATACTTTGCGTGGGCCAAGACAGTTTAAGGAGATTCAGAATGGGTCATAATTGCAGCTGGTTAGTCACATGGTACAGCAACGCCTTCCTTGAGAGCAAACGCCTTGGGAAAGGGCAAACACGTTATTATAAGTTGTACTCACTAGCTGCCTTCTCGTCATGAGTTCGTAGTTAATTTTGGCAATCAGCGCAACCTACAGACTATATTAATTAGTTGGTTATCTGCAGCAGTTAAGTAA